GCTGTGAACTATTTGGGCCAAAAAAAATTTTTCCACACAGCCTGATCAACCAGGGTGTTACTGCGGCTGCACGCAATCCAACGTACGAGCCACAGCCCGGCTGGTCAGGTACCGACTTTATCAGCAATGGCGACACCACTTTGCCAGATGGACAATTGTCACTCCCTGTCCAGGAAGGACGAGAAATTGAGGGAGATTTATATTGCACCTCCCTCCTCAACCTCATCATGTGGACTCCATCATGGCATGGTTGACACCATCTTTACCCAGGGTCTGGGTATCACTTCCCACCATGGTCGAAACGTTGAACATGTTTCCCTACACCTACTGGCTCTGATCAACTAGGAATAAGTCACTTTGACTTTTTGGGGTTATCCTATGAAATTTACATATGTTGATATGTATAATAATTTGTGTAACTTTTTATATGTACCTTACCCAAATAAACTTGTTTTCTTATTTAATAACCATCAAGACCGATCACAATCATGGAATCGAAGAACACAAGCAACCACTGATTCTTGCTCTTGTGGAGTTTTTTTTCTTAAAGACAACTGACAGGTGGTTATAATAATAATAATAATAATAATAATAATAATAATATTTATTTACTACAAGTACATGTACAAGGTATTCAGACCATAGCTGACATCAGTGACACTTGTTATGCAGAACATTTCGGGCAAATTAGGTCAATTTTGTCCCAGGATGCGACCCACACCAGTCCACTAACACCCAGGTATCCATTTTAAACTGATGGGTGAACAATGATAGCAGGTATCTTATGAAAACACGTCCCTAATATTTTTCAGCCGTACCGGAGGAGATTCGAACTCCGGTGTGTGAATTGAGTGAACTAACGATCGAGCTACGGGACGCTGTATCTAGTTTTACTTCTCAATGTTACGAGGTTTATCTAGGTGCAGCTACACATAAGTACAACTATCATACATAGTATAAATTACCTAGAATAACCCAAGAAAAGTCAGTGACTTATTTCCAGTGGAATCCTTGAAGACATGTCCAGTGTAATGGGGAACCATCACTTCAGTTTCCTCAGTAAAATATCTGGGTATCCCCTTTGACCCATGAATGTCAGGAGAACTGATAGGGAACAGTGTAGTAAAGAAAGCGAATGTCAGACTGAATGTCAGACAAGCAGTGTCTACCTACTGAGGCTCGCAAGACCCGATGTCTAGCACTTATAGTGTCATATGGATTACGCTTGCTCTTCATGGTACTCTGCCTTGACAAAAAAAAAAACTGATAGACTGCAAATCACCCAGAACAAAATCGTAAGATTCATCTTGGGGCTGGGACCAAGAGAACATGTAGGCCAGGAAGAATTACAGCAGTTGGATATGCTGAATGTTGAAGAAAGAGTACAACAACTGAAGCTAAATCTTGTTTATAAAATTGCTCACAATGTCCAGAATATCTTGCTGTCAATTTTGTCAAGGTTGGGAACCAAAGCAATCATAGTACTAGGGGGAGAGAGCACAACTTTGTAGTACCCACAGTCAGTGGCCAGGCTTCAAACACCTTTTATTGTACAGCAATGAAGGAATGGAACAGAGTGCCTGCACATGTCAAAGCCAGTCATAGCATAAACCAGTTCAAGAAGAGTGCCAAAAGGTGCCTGATGAATGTAACTACAGAAAGGGAGGGAAATTATTTTTTTTTTAGCAAACACGTGTAATTTCACCTTATTCCTAGTAATAACCCTCGTATTGTAGATAGTCTTAATGACTCTCGTGTAGTAGATAGTCTTTTTAGTATGGTGGCCTGGTGGCTAAAGCTCCCGCTTCACACACGGAGGGCCCGGGTTCGATTACCGGCGGGTTGAAACATTTCGACGCGTTTCCTTACACTTGTGTCCTGTTCACCTAGTAGCAAATAGGTACCTGGGTGTAAGTCGACTGGTGTGGGTCGCATCCTGGGGGACAAGATTGAGGACCCCAATGGAAATGTTAGACAGTCCTCGATGACGCACTAACTTTCTTGGGTTATCCTGGGTAGCTAACCCTCCGGGGTTAAAAATCCGATCAAAATCTTATCTCCCCACAAAAACCGTTAAATATCCGCAGAGCGAGAAAATGGAGGTAATGGTGCCTGGGGCAAGGTGTGAGGTGCTTGGACCCTGAAGCAATTATCGTTGACGCGGCTGATACAAAATTAATTTTGTCCACACGTCTCCACTGTTTAATTTCCTTTGCTAGTACTAATGGGACGAAAGGGTCCCACGTCTCCAAGTCCCTGGACCCATTATGTATCTCTGTAATCTGTAAATACCTTTGTAACTTGTCATGATTGTGACCATATCTACCTGGTGTTCATTACCTTTGTAACTTGCTCAGCTATCAAAACTTTGGGGTCCAGTCCCTGGACCCATTATGTACCTCTGTAATCTTTTGACTACCGCCCACAGGATGGGTATGGGGTGCATAACAATCCTATTACACTAACTACCTATGTACAAAGTGGAACAGACTTAACGATGGAATAGAGACTGTTCCTAGCTAGAGTTTCCCCGGTGACTAACCCAAGTTACTTTGACTTCTAAGAGGCTTCTACTCAACAGTCAAGTGCTAGAAGAGAATAATACCTGCAAACAATTGCTATATTAGTGACTCTGGCTTAGGACCTAGGCTGCACTAGATTCTTGGGCCTACCCTAAGCTAGTAGTTAATGTCCTAAGAGTTATTAGAAACTGGTACAGAGTTTAACGGTTAAATAACTGAGCAAGTATTACTATATTATAATTATTATAATGACAACTAAGCGTTAAACTCACAAAGGTCACACAGTGCACGGGAACTATTATAGCCTACCCCATGATAGGGTGATAGTGAGGGTAGCATTTACCTTCACTATCATCTAGTAGCCACCTTAGTTGCTAAAGCAAAAACTAAAATAAATCTCACGGAAAGTATCTAGTTCAGAGACTGGCTATTCTTTTGTAATTCGAAAGGCTTCTACAGTTGCATCTCTGCAATGCTAGATGTTTATTTTTAATGTCTGAGGTCTGAAAATCATCGACACAAGTAGTACTGCAGCAGCTTCTACACAACCTCACACCCAGAAAGCTGATCAAAGAAAAAAGTTGTACTGCCAGCGCGGCTACATTATTGTATACTCCTAGCGCTTCTTTTTATTATAATGATTATTGTGTACTCCATGCTCATCCTGTGAGCAGTAGCACAAAAGAAACAGGATTATAGAGGTCACAATGGGTCTTTATCAGACCCCAATGAGAATTGTTACATTGAACAGCACATATTAAATACTTAAACTAACGCTTTCTTACCTTAGAGGCTTATTATTATAATCAAAAGGAAACGCTAAACCTACCAGGGTCGCACAGTTGCAGGGTAAGAACTGATGCAGGGTCAAAGGATAAATAAGGGTGATGACAATGAAGGTAAGGTTAGGAGGGGCTGTGAGGAGTGCTGAAGGAAGGATTACCTGGAGTTTACCTGGAGAGAGTTCCGGGAGTCAACGCCCCCGCGGCCCGGTCTGTGACCAGGCCTCCTGGTGGATCAGAGCCTGATCAACCAGGCTGTTGCTGCTGGCTGCACGCAAACCAACGTACGAGCCACAGCCCGGCTGATCCGGAACTGACTTTAGGTGCTTGTCCAGTGCCAGCTTGAAGACTGCCAGGGGTCTGTTGGTAATCCCCCTTATGTGTGCTGGGAGGCAGTTGAACAGTCTCGGGCCCCTGACACTTATTGTATGGTCTCTTAACGTGCTAGTGACACCCCTGCTTTTCATTGGGGGGATGGTGCATCGTCTGCCAAGTCTTTTGCTTTCGTAGTGAGTGATTTTCGTGTGCAAGTTCGGTACTAGTCCCTCTAGGATTTTCCAGGTGTATATAATCATGTATCTCTCCCTCCTGCGTTCCAGGGAATACAGGTTTAGGAACCTCAAGTGCTCCCAATAATTGAGGTGTTTTATCTCCGTTATGCGCGCCGTGAAAGTTCTCTGTACATTTTCTAGGTCGGCAATTTCACCTGCCTTGAAAGGTGCTGTTAGTGTGCAGCAATATTCCAGCCTAGATAGAACAAGTGACCTGAAGAGTGTCATCATGGGCTTGGCCTCCCTAGTTTTGAAGGTTCTCATTATCCATCCTGTCATTTTTCTAGCAGATGCGATTGATACAATGTTATGGTCCTTGAAGGTGAGATCCTCCGACATGATCACTCCCAGGTCTTTGACGTTGGTGTTTCGCTCTATTTTGTGGCCAGAATTTGTTTTGTACTCTGATGAAGATTTAATTTCCTCATGTTTACCATATCTGAGTAATTGAAATTTCTCATCGTTGAACTTCATATTGTTTTCTGCAGCCCACTGAAAGATTTGGTTGATGTCCGCCTGGAGCTTTGCAGTGTCTGCAATGGAAGACACTGTCATGCAGATTCGGGTGTCATCTGTAATAAATCAGTTGCTGTCAAAAAGTCGACGAGGAAGTCTGTGACTACCGCCCACAGGATGGGTATGGGGTACATAATAAAGATATTAAACTCACTGTATCAAAGGTGGTGTCGTCAGCAAGGAGGGAAAATAAAGTAAGGGCGTTAGAGCGGTGACGACGTCGGAGGAAAATTCTACGTGCTCTTTGCTAGACAGGACAGTCTAATAGAATATGAGAACTGACTCACGAAATCGTAATGACACGATTGCAAACAAACCATATCACGGGAGGGATTTGAACCCGCAATCAGAGAAATTGAAACAGGAACTAGATAATTCTCACCAAGTGGAACAGGACGCCTCACCATGAGATACTCATGAGTTAGACGAGTATGTCCAATGCAAAGACAGAGTTTAAGTGAAATCTTAAGTGTGACAACCACCTAGGCACCAACCTAACGCATTTCTTCCTTCTTGTGCATAACTACCAACTATGAAATCAATTACTAGTTACTAACGTCATGTGTTTTTGCAGGATATAACATAACACTTTAAATTATCAGTAATTTAAGGTATAAATATACAACTAATTCATCGTATAAATGTTTTAATTAAGAGCTCATTACAAGGGCAAGTAACTTTTTATGTTAATAAAGCAAGATTTAACAAACTGTAGACAAAATATATAGGCAATACTCTCACGAATTCATGGCATAAATTTTTATTCATGTATTCATTACAAGCATATCATAATTACTTTTTGGAATTATCTTTCCAAATATTCATCTTGTCACGAAACCACTAACAAATATAGATTGGTATACGTGAATCAAGACAGCTAGAAAAAATACAGATGTTAATAATGTATACATTCCACTACAAATGTGCAAGAAACATTGGTCATTGGTACAAATGACACTCAGAAGTAAGACAGATGAGAAGATTATCATTATTGCTATCCTCAGTTGAGACCTGCTAAAGAGGGTCTTAGGTGAAGATAAAGTAGAGAATTATAATATTTATACTTTCTTCTTGTGGGTTCGTTCGTACTCCCCCCCCCCTACCCCCCCCTCCTCACAAGAGCACACCTACTGGGACAAGGTGCAGGACTGGAATTCAACCAAAACAAGTACGTACAAAATTATGAAAATTGTGGATGGGCAAACAAAGACCAGAAACAAAGTACATGTTCAGGGGACAAAACTTATTCACGGAGAACTTTGGAATGTGCATAACACAAAGTATATCGCCTACAGCGCACCTTAAATCAATAAATAACCTCTGCAACATATGTACCCCTCAAGGGAGGTTCCTTGACGCTGGTGAGGGGCTCTTAATCTAGGGAATTGGATCTCTGCTCCAGTTCCCTGAATTGAGCCTGAATACTTTCCATCCCTCCCTCCCCCACAGGAGCTGTATAATCCCTACGGGTTTAGCGCTCCATTATTATAATAATGCAGCATATATAACGCGTTTGGCAAATCTAAGATCATCTATTAGGAATCTCATTAAAGAATAATTCGTACTATATATGGCATATACCAGACTAGAAGTATACAGAATCATGGACTCCCCTCACCTGATACGCTTGTTAAGAAACTGGAAAAACTACAAAGATTCGCAACGAGGCTATTCTTAGAGCTAAGAGGTATCAGTTACTAGGAAAGACTGAAGGAATTAAACCTGACGAGATCAGAGGACGATGACCAGGAGGAAACATGATAACGACATACAAAATACTCAGAGGAATTGATAGTGGACAAGAATTAGCTGCTCGAGAGGCAGGAAACAGGTGCACAACGGCACAGACTTAAAAAAAAAAAAAGTGACAAAGATGTCAGGAAGCCTTTCTTGTCTCAAAGTGGTTAGGAACTGGAATGTTTTGGACAACTAAGTGGTTAGGCAGAAACTATACACACCTTTAAGAAAATATATAATGGGGCTCTATTATTATAATCAAGGGGGAGCGCTAAACTAGTAGGATTATGCAGCGCCTGTGAGGGGATGTGGAAGGTATTCAGGCTTAATTCAAGGAACTGGAGCACAGATACAATTCCCTAGATCAAGAGCCCCCCACCAACGTCAATGAACCTTCCTTGAGGGGTATGGGGCTCAAGAAGCCAGAAGAGAATGAACCCAGTAGCGGCTGGTGTAACAGGCAGGGTCAGGAGCTGAGAAAGAGGGGAGCGTGAACAGGTGAATATACACACACATCTTCAGTGTCATGGCATATAGTGTTTTGGTCTACAGTGTCAGGGTAAATAATGGTTTAGGCTACAATGTCATTGTGGATAACAGTTTGATTTACGGTGTCATATAAGGATTTAGTCAACATCATGATGGATAGGGGGTTGTTCTGTAATGTCATGGTAGATAATGTGCAATGTCATTGTGGATAGTAGTTTGGTCTACAGTGTCACGGTTGACGTCATAGTACTTTATAGTGGTTTGGTTGACGTCATGGTGGATAATGATTTGGTTAATAACTTTTTTGTTATATGTAGTTCCAAGTGAGGTTAGTGGGTCCCGTCTGTATTTTAATGATGCCACTGCGAATCAGCTGGGGGCTAAGCATCGTGGGAAGAGGACTATGTGTGGAAGTGTACATTGAAGAATCAACCGTGTGCTCAGGAAGAGAGGATACAATGGAGGGCACAGTAGGAGCCAGGGAAGGTGATTGGAAAGGTGGTGTTATTTCCTCAGCAGGTTCTGTAGCAGACGGAAAAACCAAGTGACTTTCTGATGTTCGATGACGGACAGATGGTTCGTTGCCTGTTGTTGTAGAGGTAATAGAAGCAATTTTCGATCCTCGGGGAGATGGAATCGGGATTTTCCTTTGAGGTTTGAGTTCTGGAAGTAATGTGCTTTCCGTTACCATGGTGCATTCTGCGACGGCCAGTAAATCAATGGAGTGTCTCTGACAGGGCTTTCCTTCTCCACTATTTTCTTTGCCGGCACAGCTGTCAGAATTAATCGTTTCATTCAGCGTTTCGCTTAAGTTGTGTTCACCTGACACCTGTTGATCCCCTGGTTGCCAATTTCCACTCTGCTGGAGGGATGGCGGTTGAGAGTCGTCCTCTGAATATATGGGGGAAGTAGTGGAAGAGTTTAAGTTAATCACAACTAAATCCTCTTCTGAGAAAAGCCTTTTAATCTGGTCATCGCTCTTATTTTCTCTCCAGCACTGTCCAGGATCTTCGTTCATTTCCTCTTCGTCATCTGATGACATGCATACGTTTGTCAGGTCTAGCTTTTTGAAATGTTTTTTCTCTTGAATACTTCTCTGTTTTGCTCGATTCTCCTTCTTAATGACAATTATTTGGCCTCGACTATTCATTAACCCAGAATCTTTCGAATTATTTACAGCGATCACAGCTGTCCTTTTTGGGACAGCCCCTGAAACTTGTGAAGGAAGTTCACCCTCACTTGCATTCTCTGTCTCATCTTGTAAGTCTGGTTTACCCTGAGAGCTTGAAGCCCACAACTCTAATGACTCTGCTTCTTCCTGTTTTAGCGGTGGTAATGATAATGTTTCTATATCACCAATATCTGGAGTGTTCGCCTCCTCGTTTTTAAGGTTGAGGTAAGGAATGTTGATAGGGGGAGGAGAGTCAGAGCCCTCGTTCCAGTCTTCGGAGTCTTTTAGTTGTAGTCTGGAACGAATTTCTTGGTTAAAAGCAGTTACGAATTTGACCGTAGCCTCTTTCACGAATCCTGGTTGGACAGCCTCACAGGCGGAGTTGTTTATGCTCCTTATGCACATTAAGCTTGGCACGTCTTCAAGTGATTCTTCTGAATCGTGCCTCTTAACTAAGTTTTCCCTTAAGACATTTATGTGAGAACGAGACGGTGATGGAGAACACTGCCGTGATATTGATGACGAACAAGATGGCGTTCTGGACAGTTCATTGTACAACTGAACACGCTTTCTGATGCTTGGAATAACTTTCTCTTCCGACGAGTCTTCGCCATCCATAAGGCAATTAGCGGCACTAATTGTAGGTCGTAGAGAGCCGTTCACTGGAGTGATGAGCGGCTGCTCCAATTCCTTCACTGATGAAGAGGCAATGGTTTCATTCTGAGAGAAGTAAATATCTAAGTCTGTCTGACGAATGTGGCCAAGAGAGGGAGCCGATTGGTTTCTAATCAGTTGCCTCTTTTTGAGGCTAGAATTACGTTCTGACGAATATTTTTGAAGTGTATTATCGCTTTCTAGTTTGGAGTCAACACTAGTTTTTCCAACAGAGATGTTTGTTTCTCTCTTCTTCGTACTCTTTTCAATGGTTAAAAAATAATGAACCTTAGACTTAACTCCTCCAGGGATAAAGTTCTCATCTTTGGAATTTTCTTGTTTGAAGTGAGCACAGGAACACGCTCCATTACAGTCACAGTCAGGTCGAAGTTTCTGAGCCTTCAGTAACATGGCTTTCCTAGCCTTGACAGTTCCTCGAGTAATACTGCTACCAGCAAGCAGTGTTCTGTTATGTTTGGTTTTGCTTGCAGGTGCAGCCGGGCGTCTCACTGCTGGCTTGTTTGCCACGGAGATCTTGTCTAATTCCTCAGCTCTAGATATCCGCTGGAACATTTCCTTCGCAGCTCTCAGCCGTTCCATTGGCGACAAATCCTGCATCAGTTCCGAATTAATATTTGTTTGGGTGCTTTCGTTGACTTGACTGGCAGCATCGGTGGTGGATGGCAGGTCAGCTGGCCGGGAGGAGAGTGCCTCCCCCTGGTTAACCTGCTGCATTGCCATCTCGTAGGAAGGAGGCGCTGAGTCGTCTTCCTTTTTGTCCTGAAGCTCATTTTTACGTGAAATCGTTGATTTCTTCTTCTTGCCACCCTTCCTCACAAGTCTTTTGCTCTTCCTGGTATGCAAAGTCACCCTCAGGCTCTGTGGAGTGCTAGGGCCAGGCGTCGATACCACCGAGGTGTCGTTGAAAGACTTCTCTGAGAGCTGTGGGGATGTGATGTCAAGAGGTCGGGAAGGCGGTGGGCGGGGAGAATCTATTCCATCAGGAGCCTCCTTGATGGTTTCTGGAGCCAGACTGACACTATGACCCTGCACCTCAGCCTCCAGCATCTCCGGCAGCGGCGTGACAGGCAGGGAGGAACGACGGACGTGACCAAGAGAGGCTTGTGTAGTCACTGTGGCCCGAGGCTCCTCTCTACCTTCTGTCTCACTCCAACCACTGTTAAGAGGTCAACTTAGTTCTATACCTCGTATCCAAACATGATAGCTGTTTTATAAGAATAACTAAAGTGTATTTGAACACTTGTCAATGCTTAATAATAACCCACATGGAGCCAAAAAAACTCAAGATTAATTGGTCCACACATTTCGATCCTCTTCTGGGATCGATCGAAATATACAGACCAATTAATCTTCAGAGTTTCCATGTGGGCTTTATATATATGTCATGCCGAATAGGTAAAATTGGTCAATTAGCAAGAATTATATTATATATTATCACACTGGCCGATTCCCACCAAGGCAGGGTGGCCCAAAAAAGAAAAACTTTCACCATCATTCACTCCATCACTGTCTTGCCAGAAGGGTGCTTTACACTACAGTTTTTAAACTGCAACATTAACACCCCTCCTTCAGAGTGCAGGCACTGTACTTCCCATCTCCAGGACTCAAGTCCGGCCTGCCGGTTTCCCTGAACCCCTTCATAAATGTTACTCTGCTCACACTCCAACAGCACGTCAAGTATTAAAAACCATTTGTCTCCATTCACTCCTATCAAACACGCTCACGCATGCCTGCTGGAAGTCCAAGCCCCTCGCACACAAAACCTTTCTAAAAATTTTCTCTTATACGTTTAAAGATGCATCTTTTTCATGTATGTTAATGTGAAAATTAATAATTTTGTATGAAAAGAATCTTAGAAAACTTACCTAACCTTATTATAACAAGTGCAATTTAATTTAGCCTAATCCAACTAAATATATTTTAGAACAGTTTAAAATAATTTAATAATAAACACAATGAAATATATTTTTTTTCGTTAGGTTCAGAATGATTTTTGCGAAATAATTGCATACACATTTTCGCTTGCCCTATTAGCAAGAAGAGCGTTGCTATTTAAGCCAAAATCGAAAGTTTTACTAATTCAGCACGATGTATATATTTTTACTGCCCACGGAATAGCATGAGGTAGCTATCGCCCTCAGGATGAGTTTACAGTTGGATGGCTGCAACCCCAAGGATGAGTGTAAGATAATTACTGCCCACAATATAGGTCTATGGGGTGACTACAGTCCAAAGGATGGTCTTGAGAACACTATAAAGCTAGCAAATTATTAATAACTTACTGTTCAGTATTGAGGGTGTTGGGGTTCCATAACACCACCTCCATTCCTTGCTCCAGGTCGAGAGAAGCATGACGGGTTCTCAGTGGCTGCTGACCTTCCTGTGTTCCACCTTCAGTAGCCAACTTGTCAGGTACCCAAGCTGTTATTCCCCCGGGACGACGCACAAGCTAAACAAGTTAAACAAAAAATAATGGATTAGCCTAACGTGGATTAAAAGTAGTATTTTATTAGAACAAAAATTTTCCTCTGATGACCCATTTTTTGACTTATCATCATGACAAACACTAAATAAGTAGGGGTCATGCAACGCCTGAGGGGCTTGATCCAAGGAAGGCTGATAACTTAGTTGCTTGAATCAAGACCCCTTAACCAGCATCCCGTCCCTTGAAAGGCTCATTCATGTGACCGAGACCATTAACTGGCTTACCAGCCTATCCCGTAAAAAAAAATATATATATATATATTTCGATCGCTGCGCGACCCTAGAAAGGTATCTTATAAACCCAGCTCTCTCTACCTCGATAAACGCAAAAGGAGTAGCAAAACTATTGTTACAACTTCATTATTGCTGCTACCTTTAATACTACCACCAATTCTTTCTTCCTCCTCCCCCCTTCCGTACTGTTCCTTGGCCTTCTGTACTTTCCTGGCGCCAGTTGTGACTCGACAATGGTCCAGGAGGGACCAAAATGTCGTCATAATGTTTCTCTAGGATCCTAAGTGCGGGTTTTTGAAGAATTGTTTCAGCCACAGTATTGTGATCTCATATTCTTTATACGCACACACTCATACACACGCGCACACACACACACACACACACACACAAACACACACACAAACACACACACAAACACACACACACAGGGTCTTGGAATCGACCCCTGCAATCTTAACTAGGTGAGTGCACACACACACAAACACAGGCGCGCGCACGCACACACACACACACACACGTGGTAATGCTTTATTTACAGCTAGCAAAGTCAGGGTATTTCTCCAGAATGGTCTGCAATATACCACTGTGGATAAAATACTTTGCCATTTCTTGAACATTTCTGAGTGAGTTGTCTCTAAATTCATTAATTTTATCACACTCCAGTACATAATGACGCAAGGTGTGACAATAGTCCATCCTGGAGTTACCTGGAAAGAGTTCCGGGGGTCAACGCCCCCGCGGCCCGGTCTGTGACCAGGCTTCCTGGTGGATCAGAGCCTGATCAACCAGGCTGTTGCTGCTGGCTGCACGCAAACCAACGTACGAGCCACAGCCCGGCTGGTCAGGAACCGACTTTAGGTGCTTGTCCAGTGCCAGCTTGAAGACTGCCAGGGGTCTGTTGGTAATCCCCCTTATGTATGCTGGGAGGCAGTTGAACAGTCTTGGGCCCCTGACACTTATTGTATGGTCTCTTAACGTGCTAGTGACACCCCTGCTTTTCATTGGGGAGATGTTGCATCGTCTGCCAAGTCTTTTGTTTTCGTAGTGAGTGATTTTCGTGTGCAAGTTCGGTACTAGTCCCTCTAGGATTTTCCAGGTGTATATAATCATGTATCTCTCCCGCCTGCGTTCCAGGGAATACAGGTTCAGGAACCTCAAGCGCTCCCAGTAACTGAGGTGTTTTATCTCCGTTATGCGCGCCGTGAAGGTTCTCTGTACATTTTCTAGGTCAGCAATTTCACCTGCCTTGAAAGGTGCTGTTAGTGTGCAGCAATATTCCAGCCTAGATAGAACAAGTGACCTGAAGAGTGTCATCATGGGCTTGGCCTCCCTAGTTTTGAAGGTTCTCATTATCCATCCTGTCATTTTTCTAGCAGATGCGATTGATACAATGTTATGGTCCTTGAAGGTCTACATCTGGTGGTGGTGATTTAACCTGCCAAAGATACTTGTAACCCAGCAGGAGCCGGGCGGTAGTGACATCCAAGAGTCTGCTTATCTTGTTGGATGCACCATAGACATGTGGCTCCTCCTGCATGATAGAATGATGATAGATGGACTGACTGGTGTCAGTCTCCCTAAGTCTTAAGTCAATATTATGTACCTCTGTAATCTTTTGACTACCGCCCACAGGATGGGTATGGGGTGCATAATAAACATATTAAACTAACTGACCATTTCTGGTTTATTGGTAAGCTCTAAATTCATAAGGGTCATACAACACCTGAGGAATAGGAGACAATCAGGTTCCATCTAAGGAAAAGAAAGGTAATTCAAATTCTTTGGATCAAGAGCCTTGTACTGGCTTCAAGGTCCCCCCACCCCATCCCCCCCTTGAAGGATCTTTCACATAAATATCTTTTATACAAATAACCCGCACATAGGAGAAAAAACCTAATGAAGACGTTTTGGTCCGACTTGACCCATTGACAAGTCAGTGTTAATGGTCCAGGTTGGACCGAAACATCGTCATAAGTCTCTCTTAAGTGCAGGTTATGTGTGTATTTTTCCAGTTACGGTATTATGCCTTTTTGTTCTATAAATACCCTTTAATATAAAGGACACAATCACAGTGTCATGGCTGCAACAATTCTCAACTAATTCACTAATTTAAAAGAAAAACTGGGCGACTGTTCACTCCCTCCGGACCATTACCACATTCACAGTATTTTCCAGGATGGATGGAAACGCTGTCCAGTTTTGATCTCCAGTTTGTGAATTGTGAATTTAACCTGGAAAATCTGTTCAGACCCTGACTGCCAGGTGAGCTGACCCAAGGTGACCCACCTTAAGGTTGTTACCAGAGAGGATGACCTTGATTACTTCTTCATAGTCAGGCGGAGGTTCATAGAGAGGAGGGTCGTCGGCCGAGGCATCGATCTCCTCCACTCCGTCAGAAGGTGATCTAGGAGAACCATCTAGGCCACAAAAAAAAAAATATTTTCCTTAATAATTACACAGGAGACAAAACTTTCTTCATTTCTGGGAGACTAGAAAGTTATTCATTATGAAAAGCTAATCAATTTGTAGACAAGAGGACAAAATATATGTAGCTTGTATGCAGAACAAGCCAAATGAGGATGGGAATCTTTAGATCTAGATCTTTCGCACTCTTGTGCGTCTTCAGGAGCTATGCAATGTTGCCAGACAGCAACAGATAGGAGGGGAAATTCTCTGAGTCAAGGCAGAAGATATCAATGTTGGCACACGCTGCCTATATTTTTAATATAAATAAAAACTAAAATAATTATAGAAGTCCATAAAAATATTATTGCATATTTCAATGTTTCGGAGCAACCTCAGGCATTTTCTGACATCCTTCAGTTTTTAGCTAAAATATGTCAAAACTGTTGACTAAGTCCGAAAAATCATATTTTACCTAAAAACTGAAGGATGTCACAAAATGCCTGCGGTTACTCTAAAACGTTGAAATATGCAATAATATGTATTTTATGGATTTTTCTTATATATTTGTACGACCCCCTACGGGCTTAGCGCTTTTCCCTAAGTACACAATGTAAAGTTTGCTGTCTGGCAACACTGCATAGCTCCTGACGACGCACAAGTGGCAACACTGCATAGCTCCTGACGACGCACAAGTGGCAACACTGCATAGCTCCTGACGACACACAAGAGTGGCAACACTGCATAGCTCCTGACGACACACAAGTGGCAACACTGCATAGCTCCTGACGACACAAGATCAAGAAACATCTGGAACTAAATATTTCCATCCCCAAGTGAATTACTCTGCATATAAAGTACATATATTTTGTCTTGTCTGTAAATTGATAATGAGTAATTTTGTAATCTTTCCTGAAATGAAGAAAATTGTATTTGTCTTGTATACGCAACTTACATGTATATGGGCCCAAAGAGAGCGTTCATTATTAGGTCGAAATATATATAACGCTTCTCTTTGACTTATGGCTCAGTGTACTGTCATATCGGCTTACAACAAAAGAAACCGGGTTTGACCCTGGGGTGAATGGAAACGCTTAGCATGTTTCTTTACACCTGCTGCCCCTGTTCACCTAGCAATAAATAGGTACCTGGGTATTAGGCACCTTACACCTACTGCCCCTGCTCACCTAGAAGTAGGTACTTGTGTGTTTATCAACTGGGAAAGAAGGGCCCTAACTGGAATAAGCCCCAGTAAGTGACAGTCTTGGGTTAGTCTGGCTTGCCAATCTTCCGGGTTAGTCTGGCTTGCCAATCTTCCGGGTTAGTAATAATAACGTCTTCTTCCTCTTATCTTCATTTTTAATGTGAGAGGTTAGTGGCACTACCGGTCAGTGGCACCACTGGTCAGTGGCACCACTGGTCAGTGGCACCACCGGTCAGTGGCACCACCGGTCAGTGGCACCACTGGTCAGTGGCACCACTGGCCCAGTGGCACCACTGGTCAGTGGCACCACTGGTCAGTGGCACCACTGGTCAGTGGCACCACTGGTCAGTGGCACCACTGGTCAGTGGCACCACTGGTCAGTGGCACCACTGGTCAGTGGCACCACTGGTCAGTGGCACCACTGGTCAGTGGCACCACTGGTCAGTGGCACCACTGGTCAGTGGCACCACTGGTCAGTGGCACCACTGGTCAGTGGCACCACTGGTCAGTGGCACCATTGGTCAGTGGCACCATTGGTCAGTGGCACCATTGGTCAGTGGCACCATTGGTCAGTGGCACCATTGGTCAGTGGCACCTAGGCAAAACCTTGAAAATTCATCCAAGACAAAAGAAAATATTTTTAATTATAACGACTAAATTCACGGGGAAGCGCAGTACCCGTAGAATTGATAATAAGTGGTCACATTGATCCTTGGAAGGGAAGAGTAGTTCCTGTTCACTGGATCAAGAGCCCTTCACCAGCACCAACCACTTCCACTCAAGGTATTTTTTACTTTTTGAGTTAAGAGGTAAGAGATAAAGAACTCATTACAACTGGTATCAGATCATTGTGTGATCTTTATGTTAATAATCATACTTGTAATAAACCATACCACGGGCGGGATTAAACCCGCGGTCAGAGTCTCTCAACTCCAGACCGTCGCGTTAGCCACTGAGTTGTGAGACTCTCAATTATGTACCTCTGTAATGTTGATAAATTAGACACATGTGCAACTCTTGGGTATCTTTATTGAGGAAACGGTTCGCCACACAGTGGCTTCATCAGTCCATACATAGGAGGAACTTGAAGAACAGGAGGAGAATGAGGTAATCAGTCCCTCAACCTTGAGTCGATGTGTTCAGTCCATCAATCTTGAGTAGAATACATCAATCTTGAGTAGAATACTCAAGATTGATGGACTGAACACATCGACTCAAGGTTGAAGGACTGATTACCTCATTCTCCTCCTGTTCTTCAAGTTCCTCCTATGTATGGACTGATGAAGCCACTGTGTGGCGAAACGTTTCCTCAATAAAGATACCCAAGAGTTGCACATGTGTCTAATTTATCAACATGTCGGTTCTCTGAACCATTCATCTACAAATACCTCTGTAATCTTTTGACTACCGCGGGTTCAGTCCCGCCCGTGGTATGGTTTGTTTGGTTTGTTTACAATCGTGTCATTACGATTTTGCGAGTCATACCTGTAATTCCTTATCAATTAAACTTGGTACAAGCCACATAGCATGAACTAATAGGATATTCAATTATCTTGTATTTATTGTAACTCCTAAATTTATACTACTTACACTCACCCGAGTGACTGTGTATAAAATTACTATGGTTATTGCCTTAATCTTAAGTTAGTATTTAGGTTCCCCGAAATGTTCTGCATAATTAGGGATTTTCTGCATGTACACCCACATGTCATTCACTGCATGTACACCCACATGTCATTCACTGCATGTACACCCACATGTCATTCACTGCATGTACACCCACATGTCATTCACTGCATGTACACCCACATGTCATTCACTGCATGTACACCCACATGTCATTCACTGCATGTACACCCACATGTCATTCTCTGCATGTACACCCACATGTCATTCACTGCATGTACACCCACATGTCATTCACTGCATGTACAAGCATTATATCATGCTGAAACAAAGTATTATAATTATTATTATGTTATTATCACTGTAACCTTGGTTAGTTATCAAGACTGGGACTGAATCCATCGACCTATTATCTGCCTCTGTATTCTGTTGGTGAGTTATAAGTATGAACAACATCTGGGAATTTTGAAAACGTTTCGGCATATTCGTCTAAACTAAAATACACAACACCTGTTCCTAGACTAAAATACACAACACCTGTTCCTAGACTAAAATACACAACACCTGTTCCTAGACTAAAATACACAACACCTGCTCCTAGACTAAAATACACAACACCTGTTCCTAGACTAAAATACACAACACCTGCTCCTAGACTAAAATACACAACACCTGTTCCTAGACTAAAATACACAACACCTGTTCCTAGACTAAAATACACAACACCTGTTCCTAGACTAAAATACACAACACCTGTTCCTAAACTAAAATACACAACACCTGTTCCTAGACTAAAATACACAACACCTGTTCCTAGACTAAAATACACAACACCTGTTCCTAAACTAAAATACACAACACCTGTTCCTAGACTAAAATACACAACACCTGTTCCTAGACTAAAATACACAACACCTGTTCCTAAACTAAAATACACAACACCTGTTCCTAGACTAAAATACACAACACCTGTTCCTAGACTAAAATACACAACACCTGTTCCTAAACTAAAATACACAACACCTGTTCCTAGACTAAAATACACAACACCTGTTCCTAGACTAAAATACACAACACCTGTTCCTAAACTAAAATACACAACACCTGTTCCTAGACTAAAATACACAACACCTGTTCCTAAACTAAAATACACAACACCTGTTCCTAAACTAAAATACACAACACCTGTTCCTAGACTAAAATACACAACACCTGTTCCTAGACTAAAATACACAACACCTGTTCCTAGAGTAAAATACACAACACCTGTTCCTAGACTAAAATACACAACACCTGTTCCTAGAGTAAAATACACAACACCTGTTCCTAGACTAAAATACACAACACCTGTTCCTAGACTAAAATACACAACACCTGTTCCTAGATTATTATTATATTATTATAATCAAGGGGGAAGCGCTAAACCCGGAGGATTATACAGCGCCTGGGGGGGGGGATGTGGAAGGCATTCAGGCTTAATTCGGGGAACTGGAGCACAGATCCAATTCCCTAAATCAAGAGCCCCTCACCAACATCAAGGAACCTTCCTTGAGGGGACCTGCTCCTAGAGTAAGGGACTGATTACTCCATCTGCCACTGCCGTTTATATATAATTCTGCAATTCTATGGGACTGATTACTTGTACTACAATCTAACTTTTATGCCCCTGTACTGTATCAATAAAGCCACTGAATACATTAGGTCAACAAAGGAAAATATATAGATGCAGCTCGTGTGTTTACTTCACCAACTTGTCAGCACTGTATACTGATGATATAATACTCTAATACCTTGACTACCGCCCACAGGATGGATATTACGAGCTAGATAAAGCTATTAATTTAACAAGAGGGAAAAACAATGATTAATGATTGATTTACCTCTGTGGGTGACCAGGGCGCGCCGCTCCCTCTGTAGCGTCCTGTGGTCGTGCAGACCACTCTTGAACATGTACGATATAAGACCAAATGCCGTCATCACCAGTGCTGTGGAAGAGACCTTTAATGAGTAGAGCTACCTGGAAGTTATGGAAGCCGAGTGAAATGTAGGGAGGCTGGGTGAAAGATAGGGAGGCTGAGTGAAAGAGGGAGGCTGGGTGAAAGAGGGAGGCTGGGTGAAAGATAGGGAGGCTGTGTGAAAGATAGGGAGGCTGGGTGAAAGATAGGGAGGCTGGGTGAAAGATAGGGAGGCTGTGTGAAAGATAGGGAGGCTGTGTGAAAGATAGGGAGGCTGTGTGAGATAGGGAGGCTGGGTGAAAGATGGGGAGGCTGGTGAAAAGATAGGGAGGCTGGGTGAAAGATAGGGAGGCTGGGTAAAAAGATAGGGAGGCTGAGTGAAAGATAGGGAGGCTGTGTGAAAAAATGGGGAGGCTGTGTGAAAGATAGGGAGGCTGGGTGAAAAAATAGGGAGGCTGGGTGAAAGATAGGGAGGCTTGGTGAAAGATGGGGAGGCTTGGTGAAAGATGGGGAGGCTGGGTAAAAGATAGGGGGGCTGAGTAAAAGATAGGGGGGCTGGGTAAAAGATAGGGAGGCTGGGTAAAAGATGGGGAGGCTGGGTAAAAGATAGGGAGGCGGGGTAAAAGAAGGGAGGCTGGGTAAAAGATAGGGAGGCTGGGTAAAGATAGGGAGGCTGGGTAAAAGATAGGGAGGCTGGGTGAAAGAGGTTGAATGAAAGATAGGATATTCCCTATTGTTGTTATTGTTATTTCTATTAGTGTTATCATCGTTGTTTTAAACGACCAAACCCTTTAAGGGGTAATACAACACTGGAAAGCTAGGCGAGATGTACGGAGGCGGGTGAAAGGTAAGGAAGCTATGTGAAAGATAGGGAGGCGGAGTGAAAGGTAGGGAGGCCAGATGAAAGTTAGGGCGGCCGAGTAAAAAGTAGAGGCTGGGTGAAAGCTAGGCAAGCTGGAAAAAAACTAGGGAAAACATGGAGTCTTCAGATTTTATTGGATGCGCCACCTGACATGTGGCTCCTGCATGTTAGAATAGTGATAGATGGACTGAAGGGTCAATGAAGTTTGTTTCGTATTATTCTCCTCGCCTCAAATTATTAAATGGAGGACCAAAGTTGTAATCCTCTTCCTTCTTGAAAGTCTTAGTTCATCAATTCTAACATGCACGAAAAAGATATACGCTGACTTCACTGTCAACATTATATATATATGGTCGAACGCTAAACACGTATGGGTCATACAGTTACTGGAGTAATGAAGTTAGTTTAGTTTATTATGCACCCCATACCCATCCTGTGGGCGGTAGTCAAAAGATTACAGAGGTACATAATTGGTCCAGGGACTGGACTCCAAAGTTTTGATAGCTGAGCAAGTTACAGAGGTAATGAATTCACAATTTACGAAGGTAATGAACTCACAATTTACAAAGGTAATGAACTCCAGGTAGGTCTAGTCACAATCATGACAAGTTACAAAGGTATTTACAGATTGCAGAGGTACGTAATGGGTCCAGGGACTGGGCTCCAAAGTTTTGATGGCTGAATTAGGTACAAGGTAATGAACTCACAAGTTACAAAGGTAATGAATACTGTAAGAATGGTTACTTACGTTTATACATGGCTACAATCATGAACAAATTATAGAGTAATGAGCAATTCACACTTCCACACCCAGTCACAACTGTAGCGAGTTATTGGTGCAAATATTGATTGTTGAGACACACATACACACACACACACACACACACACACACACACACACACACAAACTCATACACACACACGCACACACACTCATACACACACACACACACACACACACACATACACACACGCACACACACACTCATACACACATTTGCGAGAGTGTGTGCTGTGTGATTAAGTTATCAATACAGCTTAAGGACTCATGTTTGGCTTCAAGGCGAAGTTTTGGTTGTGATTTAAGAAGTAGTTTGGGGGGAAATGGAGGAATGGTAGTTTGGAATGGGGTAATATTCCATGGAGCGGAGAAGTGCCGCTGTTGCCTTACTTGACATAGATCATGTATCTGATTCATGCGGAGGTCGGTTCCAGTTTTTTCGATCCATCTGGAGGAGTGTTCACCAGTGCTGAGGAAAGTTTGGAGGGCTTCTGTGCAGGGGTTTGAATGAGCTTGCCTGAGCATATTAACCCCAATTAGGATATTTCTTTCAGTAACACGATCTCTGATGCTTGGAATATCAGTTCTTTTTGCATATTTAAAATTTTGGCAGTACGAGGGCATCCTAAAATGATCCTCATTGCTTCGTTCTGCAGTTTTTTCCAGCCCTCCAAGCTTCCAGTCAGACACAAGAGCAAGTATAGCGCAGCATAATCAACCAATGATCTAATATAAGCAAGATACATCATTTCACAATTTTAACATTAGCACCATACCTGGGGTGAAGCCCTGCCACAACTCTAAGTGCTCTTAGTCGTTCTTTGTATTGGCGACAAAGTTTTGTTACAACAGGTCCAAGTAGTGGAACCTCAAAACCTAGATACCTGTATCTGCTACATATTCTAGAAGAGACCCATCATGAATTGGATCTGACGAACTGTGCCTCTCTGTCGAGGAGGACGCCTATTAAGTATCTTTGTTTTATCAGTAGAGATTATCAACCCCAGGTCCTGACACGAGGCTAGTACATGATTAAGAATGTTTTGGGTGTTGGAGAATCCGGTGGTGTGAATCATTATATCATCAGCAAAACTAATCACATAATGATGGGGCTGACTAGGCATAGCATTAAGTAATGCATTAATAAGAATATTGAACAGTGTGGACTGAGCACACCTCCCTGTGGGGTTCCTAATTCAAAGTCTTTAGTTACACTTCTATGTCCCTGGAACAACACAGACGATTTTCTGTTGGACAGGTAGCCTTTAATCCAGCGGAGAAGCCATCCTCCAACATCCATTCTGGCAAGTTCACTAATGATTACATGTCGGTTGGCTACATCGAAAGCGGATTTAAGGTCAAGGAAGGTAGTGTATGAGCTGTCAGTGTGCGGGGTGAGAAAGGTGGCTATGCAATGATGCACGCTCCTTCCATGCATGAAACCATGTAACCGGGGAGACAAAAATTGTTTGATTCTGTACATGAGACGATTAAGAATCATTCTCTCAAATGTTTTACACAAGCAGCTAGTAAGAGATATTGGGCGAAATGCATTTTGTTGATTGGGCTTAGGAATTGGAATGATGAGGCTGTTGGTTCAAGATTGAGGGAGCTCCCCAGTTACATAGCTCATGTTATATAATTCAAGTAATGGATTACCTGGTACTCGACACAGCAATCTGAGTATGTTGTAAGTAATACCATCCTCACCAGGCGACGTGGAGTTGCCCTTAGTTAGTTTATGCTGAGCATAAAGCAAACAAGTCTCTCCCTTGCATCATATTTGTCATTTAATTTTGCCTGTGTGGTACTGGGAAGATTGTCATAGCTAGATGTAGCAGCCCAAGCACTAACTCATTCGCCCTATGTAAGGGATGAGGGTGCGCGATCTGCCCAGTTCTGTTACCCTTATTTCTATTTATGTCCCTCCAAGCCCGGCTAAGTGGGGTGTGAGCATTAAGACCGTTGACAAATTTTAGAATGTAATGAAGGCAATCAGGTTTGATCCAAGAAAATGGAGGATAGGTCCAATTCCTTTGATTAAGAATCCCTCGACGGCATCAAGGTACCTTCCTTGAGGGAACCACTACACATCACACTTGACCCTTATCCATAATTACTCTCGCATTTGCTTTGTCTACTTTCGTAAGGTGAGGTCTAGGAGCTTTCCTCAATTCATGGTATAACTTAACAAATCTTTGAGGACAATTGTGTTGGAGAGGTATACCATCAATTAAGGAAAGATTCTAGGCTTCATCTTACGAAAGCAGACAAAGCAAATGCGATAGTAATTATGGACAAGGTAGATTATTGGGCAAAAATAAACATGATATTAGGAGACAGGGAAACTCACACGACTCTTTAGTTCTCCACTGTAACTCACCGATCAATGCGACGAGGACGAGGAGACTGGACCAGCCGTGAGGTCCCCCCAGCAGGAGGTTGGTCTTCTGGGGAAAGTAGTAGTTAGGTGTGTGTTGGTACCACCAGGCGGCGTCTTCCGGGGTGAGGTTCTTGTTTCCTGGACCTATGTAGCAGGTGGGAGGTTCATCACTGCTGTCGCCGCAGTGGTCAAAGCCGTCGCAGCGCAGCATCTTGGGTATACAGCGGTGGTTGTGACACATGAGGTCTGTCAGAGTGTAGCAACCTGTGGGAGGCGCACACGCAGTCTTACTTGCTAACCTTACATTATGTACTTATGGAAAAGCACTAAGCCCGTAGGGGATCGTACAGCGTCTGGGGAATGGGAAGTAATCAGGTTTAATTCAAGGAAAGAGAATAACTTCAGGTCATCATCAAAAGAACTTTATCAGTACTCGTATAAAAGGATAGGATAGTCTAATAAATTACTGGCACACGAAATGTGAAAAGTGGAGAGAAAGATATAGCCACACTGACCATATTAATAAACATCAACAGATAGCCATTCGGGTCATGAGAGAGAGATACTAACTACCCAAGTAGCTGAAGGAGGTGTAGACGATGGCCAGTTTGGAGTCCTTGGTAAACGCTCCCTTCAGTCTTACATAGAAGCCAGTATCAACAGCAGCTAGATATTCTTGTCCGCTGGTGGCTCCCTTCTCCCCCTGCAGCTCCTCCAGCAGGTAGTCTTCGCTCGTCACCCCCCGACGCACCTCCAGCCGCGTCCCCGACACTATCAAGCAAGTGCATGCACTAAGAATCTTAGTATATTAACTGTGGTACAGGTGAAGGTAGCAGTTGTGGTGATAACTGTGCTACGTCTGTAGCTTAGGTGGTGGTTGTGGTTATAATTGTGGTACCTCTGTAGCTTAGGTGGTGGTTATGGAGATAACTGTGGTACAGGGGGGTACCTATGTAGCTCAGGTGGACGTTGTGATAAGTGATGACTTGTGAGTGTTGTTACATGCTGGTGGCGACAGATGGTTTATAACTTGCCTCTCACACCTTGTGAATACAGTGATACAGTTTTATCAGAGAAGTGCACATGTACAGTGATAGTGAGTTACGTAAATATTATATTACATAGACATAAGCACCATAGGTGCGCAGACAATAACTTGGTCATTACCGTAGATATAGGGTAGCTCGTACACTAGCAGCGGTGTACACAATACTGAACTACATATGTAATCACATTACTGAGCACCTTACAATTTTAACTATTTTAAGGCAGCATATTTTTTGCTACGTCTGTAGTACTTATTTAATGTTCATTTGTTTTAAAATTTTGCGCGCGCTGTTATGTTACACTTTGAAGGCCTAACATAAATATTGAAAATAATTACTATGGGAAAATTATATTTCAAAACTGTATATATCGTTATTCTAACATTTGAGTAAATCAAGATTAATGACCGCAATAATTAATACGTTTCTGAATTATAAATTATACACAGATTAATGAAGGCTGAATGTGCCCGGGGCTTCCTGTACGACCACCATTGTTGAAGACCTGTGTTTGTAATGAGTTCCCGCTCTGTGTGAGTCATTATGTCGCCTCGTGTACCCATGATACTCTCACTAATTCACAAATATTTTTACCAATATCATCGGATAGATGAGAAATTATCTCATCGGATAGAGAGAAATTATTATGATTAAAGAGGGTATATCAGCTGACCCCACACTTACCTGCCCAGGGTGTCCTCCATCTGACTGCAATTCCCTATTTTAATTTAAAATTTATTAGGGGGCATTGACATAAAAGACTGTGTGGGAAATGGGTTACAAAAGAGGCAACCTAAATAGCTCCAGAACAATGTGCATGTCTAGTATCGTGGTAATTACTGCAAATTTTTATATATAAGTGATACAATATTTGACGTTAGGAATTGTAAATGATTGAAGCCTAACATTCTTCAACTCATATTTTCTTCTATTTAACAATTTGCTTGAATTTGGCGATTACCATAATCAAGGAACAATGCTCACCCATGTCATCAAACTGGACGACCTTGATGGAGAGGTGAGACTTGAAGGCATAGTTCTGGGGAGGCTGGACGATCCACACACAGTCGTATATGGTATAGTTGGTGTCGTCCTTAGCCATGTTCATCATGGTGATTGTACCACCGAAGTTGGTGACGAAGCCTCCACAGTCTGCCAGCGACAATCAATTAATCTCTCACACACAAACCAGTGTATTGGTTAACTTCCCCTCGAGAGGAAAGGGAGGACCTTCATTCTAGTGAAGGGTTCTTCAAGGAATTTTGATTACCCTCTTTCTCAGATGAAACCTCATAATTTCCCGTTTCTCAGGCGCATTCTGACCCTCCCGGATTTAGCGCTTCCCCATCAGTATATTGTGTTGCCTATATACAACATATATAGTAGGCTATAATTTAACAGATCTAGAATTATATTCTTAGCATGAAGTCACCATTAAGATCAAACACAAGTCAAGAATATTATGATAAATGTCATATAATGTTGAGAAATTTACTATTTGTTCGTCAACTGTAAATATAAACCAAGCTTAATTATCTGAGCTTACCTGTTATGGCTGGTTCAGCCGCCACGCTCTCTGCTCAAAATAAAAAAATATGAGAAAAGTAGTGTATTAACATTTTATTAAAACAATATCCGTATAATGCAAAAAAAAATCCACAAAATGTCCACAAAATACCTTTCATCCGTGGACTGCTTGCAGAGGCAAAGGCAATGTTTGCGGCTTTCACTGAGACCCACATAAAGGATCACTTGGACAACGAAATATGGATCCCAGGTTACAACCTATACAGATGTGACAGAGTGAACAGGCAAAAGGGGGGGGTTGGCCTGTACATTGCAGAGTCACTTGTTTGCACAGAACTGCTTAATGCCTCAAATGACGTAGTGGAAGTTTTAGTAGTAAAGGTCGAGAACCAAAACCTAGTCATTGTGGTAGTCTACAAGCCTCCGGATGCAACATCCCAGCAATTCCAGGAACAGCTGTTAAATATTGACCACTGTCTGGAAAATCTTCCAGCTCCTGCACCCAACATCTTGCTCCTGGGGGATTTCAACTTAAGGCACCTAAAATGGAGGAATATAGCAAATAATATTGTTGCAGTAATAACACCAGGAGGCAGCTCTGATGAAAACTCACACTCACACGAGCTTTTAAATCTCTGCACAAAATTCAATTTAAACCAGCAAATAATAGAGCCTACTAGACTGGAGAATACACTAGACCTCATCTTCACTAACAATGATGATCTGATAAGAAATGTCACCATATCAAAAACAATATACTCAGATCACAACATAATTGAGGTTCAGACATGTATGCGTGGAGCCCCAGACCGACAAAATGAGACTAGTCACGAGGGAGCATTCACAAATTCAACTTCAATAACAAAAACATAAAGTGGGACCAAGTAAACCAAGTCCTAACCGATATAAGCTGGGAAGATATACTAAGCAACACAGACCCAAACTTATGCCTAGAACAGATTAACTCGGTGGCACTCGATGTATGCACAAGGCTTATTCCTCTAAGAAAAAGGAGGAGTAGATGTAAAATAGAAAGAGACAGGCGCTCCCTTTACAGGCGACGGAAAAGAATAACAGAGCGGCTAAAAGAGGTCAATATATCTGAAATGCGCAGGGAGACACTGGTCAGAGAAATAGCAAGCATCGAACTTAAGCTAAAAGAATCCTTTAGGAGTCAGGAATCGCGGGAAGAACTAAAAGCCATAAATGAAATCGAAAGAAACCCAAAGTATTTCTTCTCCTATGCCAAATCAAAATCGAGAACAACGTCCAGTATTGGGCCCCTACTTAAACAAGATGGGTCCTACACAGATGACAACAAGGAAATGAGTGAGCTACTCAAGTCCCAATATGACTCAGTTTTTAGCAAGCCGCTAACCAGACTGAGAGTCGAAGATCAAAATGAATTTTTTATGAGAGAGCCACAAAATTTGATTAACACAAGCCTATCCGATGTTATCCTGACGCCAAATGACTTCGAACAGGCGATAAATGACATGCCCATGCACTCTGCCCCAGGGCCAGACTCATGGAACTCTGTGTTCATCAAGAACTGCAAGAAGCCCCTATCACGAGCCTTTTCCATCCTATGGAGAGGGAGCATGGACACGGGGGTCGTCCCTCAGTTACTAAAAACAACAGACATAGCCCCACTCCACAAAGGGGGCAGTAAAGCAACAGCAAAGAACTACAGACCAATAGCACTAACATCCCATATCATAAAAATCTTTGAAAGGGTCCTAAGAAGCAAGATCACCACCCATCTAGAAACCCATCAGTTACACAACCCAGGGCAACATGGGTTTAGAACAGGTCGCTCCTGTCTGTCTCAACTACTGGATCACTACGACAAGGTCCTAAATGCACTAGAAGACAAAAAGAATGCAGATGTAATATATACAGACTTTGCAAAAGCCTTCGACAAGTGTGACCATGGCGTAATAGCGCACAAAATGCGCGCTAAAGGAATAACAGGAAAAGTCGGTCGATGGATCTATAATTTCCTCACTAACAGAACACAGAGAGTAGTCGTCAACAGAGTAAAGTCCGAGGCAGCTACGGTGAAAAGCTCTGTTTCCACAAGGCACAGTACTAGCTCCCATCTTGTTCCTCATCCTCATATCCGACATAGACAAGGATGTCAGCCACAGCACCGTGTCTTCCTTTGCAGATGACACCCGAATCTGCATGACAGTGTCTTCCATTGCAGACACTGCAAGGCTCCAGGCGGACATCAACCAAATCTTTCAGTGGGCTGCAGAAAACAATATGAAGTTCAACGATGAGAAATTTCAATTACTCAGATATGGTAAACGTGAGGAAATTAAATCTTCATCAGAGTACAAAACAAATTCTGGCCACAAAATAGAGCGAAACACCAACGTCAAAGACCTGGGAGTGATTATGTCGGAGGATCTCACCTTCAAGGACCATAACATTGTATCAATTGCATCTGCTAGAAAAATGACAGGATGGATAATGAGAACCTTCAAAACTAGGGAGGCCAAGCCCATGATGACACTCTTCAGGTCACTTGTTTCTATCTAGGCTGGAATATTGCTGCACACTAACAGCACCTTTCAAGGCAGGTGAAATTGCCGACCTAGAAAATGTACAGAGAACTTTCACGGCGCGCATAACGGAGATAAAACACCTCAATTACTGGGAGCGCTTGAGGTTTCTAAACCTGTATTCCCTGGAACGCAGGAGGGAGAGATACATGATTATATACACCTGGAAAATCCTAGAGGGACTAGTACCGAACTTGCACACGAAAATCACTCACTACGAAAGCAAAAGACTTGGCAGACGATGCACCATCCCCCCAATGAAAAGCAGGGGTGTCACTAGCACGTTAAGAGACCATACAATAAGTGTCAGGGGCCCGAGACTGTTCAACTGCCTCCCAGCATACATAAGGGGGATTACCAACAGACCCCTGGCAGTCTTCAAGCTGGCACTGGACAAGCACCTAAAGTCAGTTCCTGATCAGCCGGGCTGTGGCTCGTACGTTGGTTTGCGTGCAGCCAGCAGCAACAGCCTGGTTGATCAGGCGCTGATCCACCAGGAGGCCTGGTCACAGACCGGGCCGCGGGGGCGTTGACCCCCGAAACTCTCTCCAGGTAAACTCCAGGTATATATCCACAAGGTTTCTTAGGATAAATCCACTATTTCCATAATCTACAAAGTTTATAGTATAAATCCACTAGGTTTCCAGAATCCAATAGGTTTCAAGTATAAATCTCCAAGGTTTCCTGACATATATCCATAAAATTTCTAGTATAAACTCATTTCCCGTGAAATATAGTACACAATAATTTTTAGTTTACAAAACGTGTTAACGTTAAATAACAAGCAAATAAAAAACTTTTGATATTAAACACGGATATTTTCGGAACTTAATGATGATTTTTCAATTAATCTAAATGTTTGTTCAAAATTCATATTTTTTCACCCTCAATACAAACTAAAGAAGAAAAAGGCACGATACCATGACTGGAACAATACACAAATAAATGGTCCAAGTCTGACCGAAACGTCGGGTTATTTGTCAAACTAAATTTTGATTAATTCACAGATACTATACACCTTGGAGAGGAAATTTGAGACTACGTTTCGGTTCATCCTGGACCATTATCAGGGCCATGACAAGCCAAAGTATCGTCTAAAGATTCCCGAACCAAAAATATGTTAGAACCTACCCACATTACTACACAAATACCAGCTTAAACAATGCAAAAAACAATAACCCATATATGTTTAGCGCTTACTATCAATATGTTCTAATAATGTAAAATATAAAGAGTGCTAAGCAATGGAATAAAAGTATTACAGGGAACAAGAGATGACCTGCATCGACGAAAGTGTAAAGTAGGTTGAAACCCCGAGCTGTCTCGCCGTTCCCACTGAACCTGACAGTTATGGTCGGCCCAGATGACACTAAGATGGGCGGCCTGAACACGTTACCATTGAAGACAGCCACGCGGGACCTGTTCGTGTCTTGTATCTGCAACAAGAGGAACAGACGTAGCTGGTCACCTTGAAGTAGGGAGTGAATTGTTGCATTTAAACGATTGTAACCAAATATAAACATGGAAATAGTTCATTATCAATGTAGGTGTGGATATTAAAATCTTGCGACCCAGTTCCTGGACCCATTACGAGTGTGGGAATTTATTGAGTTTCAAAGAAATCCCACAGGGTCATTGTAACAAGCAGTAGAGGTCTTTAATATCCACTCCAACAAAGTATGCTGTGGACGTCATGAGTCAACACATTGATAAATTTACTCTGATATATTACAGGTTTTAGGTCGAATTATAGTGTTAGGAACTAATAATAAAATTAAAAAAATGTAGTTTTAGGCTTTAATGTGTTTACATTAGTTACAAACGAGTAGGGATATTAGATAGGTAGCGACACCTGGCGGTCCTCCAACGAATTAGTGACGGAGGTGGATGTTGGTAGCCATCTTTGAACGAGGCCCATGCTGAGAGCACCTCATTACAGTTTCTATCTCTTGCGTCCTACACAGTTTCCTAACGTTACCTGGCAGTTAACAACGTGCTTCAGAGGCCTTACAAGGAATCGTGGATACGAGTCTCTGCGCCAGATCCGTTGGTGATAACTATGTACTGTATTTTGTCTGTGGAAAATACTGTATATATTTTCCAGAAATACAGTAGTTATTAAATGTAAATAGATGGCCATACTGTATTTAAAATTTATGTAATCGAAAACGGGAAGCTGCGCCTGCGCAGAAGGGGACTCGCCATCTTGGTTTTGAATTTTGTACAAACGTTGGTGTAATGGGAAGAATTTTTCGTGCTCTAGAGGTTAAAATTGTGTTGACACCTCTCAAATAGGAGGCGAAATTGGTGGATGTGCATTCCTGCATAACTTGAGATATCAGACGACTGGACAAGACAGCTCCAGGAACCTCAGATAAGCTCTCTAGATTTGTGTGTAATTCTGGCCAGCATTATTTTCATAGATTTAGTTAGAGTGAGGTTTTCTGAGTATGATACACATTAATCTCCAGTCAAATTGGTGAGTGATATTAAGATATATTTTCCTTCTGTTATGTAATTGTGTATATATATAACCATTTATTATTTTTAATATACAGTATACAAATTTATATATTTACCAGTATTCCTGGTGTATATATATTTCATTTAATTAATAGGTCCAGAGCAACTTGTGGTTATGACAGTGGTAGGTATCGAAGGGGGACATTTTTTGCGACCTAGGTGTCCCAAATTCCTACTTGTCTATGTAACATTGATAAATAATAATTATCTTTATCATTTACTGTTATGTACATAATGAGTTACATTCAGATAAATGCAATTTTCCACATTGTCCCTAGTAAGGTGGCCACTAATACTGGGATAGTTAACGTACAGTTAATAAGTGTGCCCATGACCAGCGATCAGGTAATTTGTAATTGATGTTTACTATAGTTTACAGTACAAGCCACTTGTGAGACTAATGTTAGGAGTCTCTGGGGACGGTGTCACCAGTCCTTGCTAGAGAGCTCACAGGGAGGCGGATATTACACATTTCGTGAGTTATAATTGTATACTGATTGTGAGGAGACGTTTGTAAGATTTGTTTGCCATATTACATGTTTGATTATGATACAGCATGCAACCCTGTCAGTTGATTTATATAATATTCATTATATTACTTGATTATGAGGAAGAAAAAATACATTAATCTTGCCAAGGTGCAAAGCGTTTGTGTTCCTTTCACACATTATGTTGCACATTTGTAGTTACCCCTCAATCTCATTCCTTCATAGGGTGCCTTGAGGGGGCTGTTAATCCAAGGAATTAGAGCTACTCATTTCTTCTTGATTAACTAAAATTCCTCAGGCGCTCCAAAATAGGATAACTTCATTCTGATGTCCTATACCCCATTCTTTCCATAACAGCATATCATCGTGCCCAATGACATTACATATCATCCATACACCATTCTTTTTCACCTTACACCTCCCAGGCACCATCGCCCAAACCATGACCTACCTCGACGAAGCTCCATGGTGAGAGTTGAAAGTCCTGAAAGTTGACTTTGATCCTGGCATTGGGTTCTTCTGCCTTCAGTTGATATTCCATCCAGTGCTCCTTTGGATACAGCTCTGGGAAAAAGGGCGTCTTTATGTATCCTTGCGTCACGTTCAGCTTGCCTCTGATCTGGTACTTGTTGCCTGCCATGTTAAAAAAAAAATCTATAAGATTTAGTTTGCGTAGCGTAAGGGATAATTATTTGTCATTACCACTTGTATGACCCCCAGTATGTAGGCGTAGCCGAGGAAATTTTTTCTCCCCAAACTCAATCCTCATTCCCTCCCATTCCCAAGCGCTGCATGGCCCTTACAGATTTATAGATTCCCATAAATCTAATTTCGAATTTCTTTCTCTTATTGGAAGAGGTTAGTAAAATGCACGAGCTTAACCTATGGAAATAAGATGCATATACACAATCAAGACATTTATTGAAGACGTTTCGCCACTTACAGCTTTATGGTTCCTAATACAGACAGCTAAGAAACAGCATATATAGGAGAGGTCAAGTGCAACCCAGAAAAACTAAGTCACTTGTCAGAAACGAGTTGGCGGAGCTTGAAATTGAGAAGCATCTTGCGTCACCTGGTAGCAGTGTTTTGGTTGGGAAGAATCAGTCTGAATACTAGAAATAATGATATTCACGTTTGTCTGATAGTGTTAGAAATCGAAATAATTGAGGTTTCTAGGTGCCGACGTCTCAATCTCGTTGATCAGTAGTATTGCTCCTTCCCACCTTATGATGTGATCATGTGTACTACGATGTTGGACATGTGTGTTGTTCATATAATCATGGCCGTAGGCGTTCTCGTTTCTCTGTTCCCCAATATGTTTGGTCATGGCCTTGCCTATTTTCCTCTATGTTTACTTGATTGCATACCAGTCCCGGTTTCTATGGAGCAGACTGGTTTCGATCTACCCAGGTCCTGGATTGTGGCCATAAAGCTGGTTGCTACTCTAGTATGGCTGCCCATGAGTGTTAGAGAAAAATGGCTGGTCACATTACTGAAGGGATAGACTACCTGTTGGAAGATCTTTCCTGTGTGTAGGACATACAGGGCTTAATGTTGATGTTTTGTATACCGAGTCTATTGGGGAAGATTACCAGTATGTCGTCGGTATAGGATTTTAGGATTAAAGTCGCAAGAGGCGAAACGTCTCCTTCAATAAATGTCTTGACTAGTATATATGTCGATTCCCACAGTCTGTCGGTACTAACATACTTGCACCAATACAATGAGTTTGACCTAAATTTATTAAGAACTAATATAAGTTAAATTCTCATAGTAAGATTAACAGGAAAAGTCTTCCACGGGAAGAAGGTGAGAACATGATCAATAGAACTTAAAAACTAGAGGTATGTTGGACATTTTGGAAAGTCGACAAGTCATCATGTCAATACAAAGTGAATCCATTTTCTTAGCCACAGATATTGTAAATAGAACGAATCAATTCAGCTGTGTTCTTAGCTTCAGTGTCATCCTTAATGAGTATATAAACAGGAAAAAATCCCCAAAGACTTCTGTAACCATGGTAGAACAGCGGAATATGTTCCAAAATAAGGTAGCAAGTGCTATAACTACTAGGAACCTTGAAGCACATATGCAGAAAACGAAGTAATATAAACGGGGTGCTACCACCATAGCTCTGCTGTTGTCACTATAAATTCTGAAGACGGGACACGATAAACATAGCTCGGCTCCTGTAACTACAAATTGAAGATGTGATATCAGCAAACATAGTAGCTTTTGTGACTACAAATACTTGAACATAACCCATCAGCAAAGCTGCTCTTGTAACTACAAATGCTGAAAACGAGACACCACAAATACATTTCTGCCTCTGTTAGGTAGGTAAGGTTTGTCAGGAAACAGGACAAGTATTTCCTGTCCCTGTAACTACAAACACTGAAGACGGGACACCACGAATACAGTTCTGCTTCCGTAACTACAAAAAAAAAAAAAAAAGGTAATCACACAACTCACGCTTGGCAGTGATGGAGACGACGAAGGTGTCTTGGTAACTCCTAGTGTAGAGGAAATCGAGGATGACTTCCCTCGTCTGCGTGGCGAAGGTCTTAGGGGTGTGATCTCCCGTGGAACACACGTCAAGTCCACCTGCACCTCCGACGTAGGGCGGCTCTCGCACCCTCAGGTAATCACATCTGTGCCATGGGAAGTAAGGAGATATGCGAGTCACATTCGCTGCGATATGTGTACTGCGGCCTGGGAGATGTCTTGAGAGACACTATAGACTCCTGACACGTTCGTTTCAAAATTGTACGAAGAGTGAGAATAATTTTTATTATAAACTTTACCCTTTCTTCCCTCCCTTCCCTAGCTCTCCTACCCTCACCTGCAAGAGTCATCGTGTGAGCACGAGGGAAGGTTCACCTTCTGAAAGGTGAACTCCAGGTGGCAGTCCGGGCAGGTAAAAAACTCTGCCCCGCACCGGAAGGCTTGACTCAGAGAGGTGATTATTTCCGCTTCGGGTTCCTGGCTCAGTGAAGTGGCCTGACCAGTCTCTAGTTCCTGGTTCTGTGAAGTAGTTTGACCAGTTTGTGGTTCCTGGTTCAGTGAAGTGGTCTCATCCGTACCTGGTGACGGTTAATGGTGAGGCTTGTAATACTGATGATTGTGGTCATTCATGGTGATGATTTATAATAATGATAATTGAGATTTTCTTAAATCTTTATTGAACTAACTTACAGAAAGTAATAAGTATATTTTCATAATTATGAAGACTCTCTCCCTCTCTATCAACGTGGGGAGAGAGGAGGGAATTCTTTTCTCAACCGAGCCATGCGCTTATGGAGACTTCGAAGAACTGGGTTATGGGGGGGGGGGGTCACCCTGTTTAAACAAGATCAAGCCTCCACCCTGCGATGATTGACCCAAATGGTTTGTCGCTTCATGTAAAACAATACTGTTGTATTCACATTCTGCATCGGCTAGAGACTGTAACCCAGTTATGACCCCTTTTTTTATATTTTTAATTGCAATAAATATTTCTTTTGGAGATTGTATTTCTTACTGTACTGTGTACAACAACTGTATAAAGAAATTGTAAAATACGAAATGACTAATATTCCTCTCTGGTGATGAAACAGTGCTCAGTGTGACCTCTGTAATCCTGTTTTCTACTCTACCGCTCACCCTTTGGGGCCTAGTTCCTAGGCTTTTTGTGGATCCATATGCTCTCGCGCTACCGTCCACAGGATGGATATGGGGTGCACAATAAACTAGCCACTTCGGTGGTAAAATCTAAAAAAATCTAATCGCTCACAGTTTGAGCTGCGAGTGCGTAATAAACTAGCCGCCCAGACTGCAGGACTAAACTAACACTTTGTGCTGAATGACTTATACGGATTCACCGCTTCCAGTACATAAGTACATAGTTGTTTACTCACTGGTTTCTTTGTCATCATCCTGGTGGTCCAGCAGCTGTAGCGGGTGTACAGGAGTCACCTTCACTGAGGATGGTGTGACAGGTGGAGGCGCTGCAGTAGTGGGAGGAGGAGGCTGGCGCGTGTGTGGTGGTTCCTCCAGTGTGTGGAAGCTCTTCTCGTGTGAGTGAGGAAGTAGGTGGTTGGTGAGAGCAGAGATGAGCAGAGAGGTAATGTTGTGACTGTAGCGAGGCTTACGAGCACCCACCTGCTGCGGGCCCTCCCTCCTGCTGCTCCAGGGAATAACACACAGGAAGAATTGTTAGGCATAGAAATTAGGTAGTAATCGAATTTATAATGCATTTAATATTTAACCATTTAAGTCTGAGGTCACGACTTAACAGTAACTCTTAATGTTGTCCTATGTTTCTGCCCCAGCACCTGTGACTACCGTAGAAGAAAATAGCCGTCGGAAAAACATTTACATTCTCTCTCTCTCTCCATAAAGCTGTAACTCGTGGCAGAAGCCTTGAAAGCTGCTACTATGCTCTGTATGTAACCTCATGTACATAGTTTAACACGTCAGGTTGCTGACGCCATGCTCACGCGGAGTAGTTCTTGGCTCTGCCCTATGTAACAAAAGTATTATATTGACATTACACATCTGACACCAGCTCCATTGCCTTGTCCCCTCAGGAAAGGTTCCTTGATGTTGGCGAGGGGCTCTTGATTTAGGGAATTGGATCTGTGCTCCAGTTCCCCGAATTAAGCCTGAATGCCTTCCACATCCCCCCAGGCGCTGTATAATCCATTGTCTTGTAAACCTAAAAGCTCTCTTCACTACATAATTACTACCTTACTAATGTTAAGTAAACCTAGACAACTCTCCTCACTACATAAACCAACATGGTTCCACCTATGTAACTAAGATACCTCTTCCAACCACAGAATATGGGAGACGAAATCTGACCTGTGACTTCGGACGGGGCGGTGGTAGGTGGGATGACTGCTGGATAGCGTCCTGGTGGCGATCCTGGGAAAGGCAGGGAGGCTCACGTTGGAGGCGCCGACAAAGGCCTTCGTGCCAGCCTCCAGGTAGAACTTGCGTCCATCCATCTGGCGACACAAGTCCCCATGGATGACGTTCACTGGTGCCGCCGCAGTTGTCAGTGCTAACATTAGTAACGCTGCCACGTCTGCAGGAAGGTGGTGAAGGTGAGAAATAGATTGTAAGGGAGACAGGTAGTGAAGGTGATGCAGTAGATTATAAGTGAGAAGGGTGATGAAAGTGAGAAATATGTTCTAGGGAAGACAGTGAAGGCGAGGCACAAAGGTTGCAAGTTAGAAAGGTTGTGACGATGAGGCAGGTAGATGGTAGAATCTACTCCCCTTGTTTCCACTCGCTTAGTCCTTGCCTTACCTGTCGGCCAAGACTCATTTTTCCTTAACCCTCACTCAAAAGAGCTTTGCTGTTACGACTCGCTCAATCCCCGCCGGTACCGTGGTTTGTTATATTCATATATACGTGTATGATTATAGTCTCAGAAGGTACGTGTCACTCTTCATACAGTACATAAAGTACGTCCTTCCCTGCTTTCGTGTCTTAGGGACAGTTGATTGTTTTGTGGTCATACAACGCCCTCGGAGTGGAAGAAATTGAGAGGTAATTAAGTTTGATGCGAGGACGTGGAGGGTAGCTTTAATTCCTTGGATAAAGTGTGCTTTACCTGCATCAGCGCAATTACATCTTTCCTTGAAGGAACCCACTGAAATAGCTTTAAACTTCACTACCCCTTCCTGTCTTGGGGTCAGCAGCCCCTCACAACCTAGTCCGTCATATAGGGTCAACAGCTCCTTCACCACAAAGACCGTCCCAGGGGGTCAACAGCTCCCTCACCATCTAGGTCTGCCCACAGGGGTCAACAAGCGCCCCTCACCACCTTGGTCTGCTCACCGGGGGGAGGGGGGGGGGTTCTGCAGGCGCCCCTTATCACATGGAACTACAATAACAGTTCTGATAAAACCGAAAGATTCCAGGCTAAATCTCCGAGCCGGCGAAATGTATATGGAAGGTTTCCCTACACCCCTTCGCCCCTGCCCACCTAACAGCAGAAGTAGGTACCCGTATCTTACAGCCAACTGTTACGGAGTTCATTCGGGAACAGTTTGCTGTGTAAATTTGCAAGAAACTAGTCCTGCTGGAATCATAACCTGGTCGTATAATCGCATTTAATAAAAAGGTCTGCTTGTTAGGTTAAAGGACGCAGATGCAACTAATGCGACATTTTTATGGCAACGTTTCGCTGTCCAGGAGCTTGACAAAGCTCCAGGAGAGCGAAACGTTGCCACAGTAAAATATCTCGTTAGTTGCATCTGTGTAATTTTACCTAATATTTTGTCGGTAATCCTACCATATAGCTGGTGCTACACTGTTTTCCAGCACTTGTGGGAGCACCGCCTCACTCCAACCACCCGGAGCTCCACTACTACGACTTATAATTGTCAGTATTTACAAAGTCAAGTACCCACTTGTGTACACCCTCGTGAATAATTATCCAACCGTCTGTTAACCCATGTGAAGGTTTGACGCACCATATGTCACCCACTTTAAGTTACACTTACAAAGTAACTAGTGATGCTCTGATGACACAAATTAATCATAGTAAATTAAACATCACCTTTACACATAACCTTTATACATAAAGCGCTCAACCTATAGGCAGTTGTAATAGATTAGATTTTGCCACCGAAGTGGCTAGTTTATTGTGCACCCCATATCCATCCTGTGGACGGTAGCGCGAGAGCATATGGATACACAAAAGGCCTAGGAACTAGGCCCCAAAGGGTTAACAGGAATACATATGGATTTATATCTACATATCTATAGTTCACTTATCTGTTACAAGCAAATTTAGGAAATTTGCTTAGTATATCTGGTATCTTATTTTCATTAATAAGATAAGTTGTAATAGCAGTGGCGACTTCAGACCTTCCATTCGGGTTGAATTTAGGAGTGACAGTCTAGTTGATAGGGCAGCTAGGGGACTAATTATTATATTATTATTATTATTATTATTACTTGGGAGGGTTCTGGGGAGGCTTCAGCCCCCTTGGCATCGCCACTGGTTAGTAGTTATAATGTAAAGATTTATATTTATATATTAGATTAATATATTTATAATTACTTTCCTACTGTACAACTATGATATACTACTCCTTAGTATTAATTAGAATGTAAGCCAATAATGTTAAGTTGGCCCATAATGACTAGGCATAATAGAGGCTCTCTTTGCATTGCAACCCACTATTGTAAATACACAATCTCAATGTACTGTTTGCAAAGACATTAAATAAATAAATAAATATATCAAAAGGTATAGGGAGGGTGAGTCTCCTACCAGTCGAGATCATTGCTTCGCTAGGCTGCTGATCTTCAGCGTTAACTCACAACCCTCTGCTGCTGCTGCTGCTGCTGCTGCTCCTGCACCTCAGACAACACTCGCTGTCGATGGGTATATCTTAAGAGCCAACAAAAATCGGTCACCTAAGTTATATAGATTCGTTAACTATGTGATGCTACAAAAACTTAACTGGCATATTTAAACCTCATCGATCACATTTTACAAGGGATTTTATTCCGAGCTTGCCTTGAGCTGAGCAAGTTCAGTTTACTTATCTCATTATTTAGGAAAACGTTAAAGTTACTAAAACTGCCTTAGCCATTTGGAAACGCTTGCGGCTGGCAGTGTGTAGCATTGTCAGGTATATCCAAGTTAAAATACAAAAGACTTTGATAAAAATTGATCAGATCCACGGGTAACTGTTGTCATTAATATATAACTCACAAATTTGGTAATTTATACTCTTCTTCACTGCAGACTTTTGTCTGGATGAGTGGCAAATGCACAGGATTTTCAATAACATATGAACGATGTTCTTAGATTGATCACTATTTTCTTCCTTTGGTGAACGGGTTAGCACTACTGTTGAGTACTGGCTACTGTAGTCACAGTGGTAATCGTCGCAAAAACAGAAGTCGTTGGTAGGTTTTAGTCACGGAAACTCTCATAGTCTGTTAGACACTCGTTCACACCTTACTGTCTGTCTACCTGGCCACACCACTCACCCTCCCTGCTAATTGGATTCTCACCTGCCCTCCCCCACCGCCTTGTTACCTTGACCCTAAACTGCCATCTAAGTGAATATTGCGCATTCTCCTCTTGTAATGTACCATCTTGGAAAATTACACATCGTTGTTGTTGTTATTATTATTATTAGTAGTAGTAGTAGTAGTAGCAGTACTAGTAGTAATAGTAGTACTAGTATAGTCGTAATATTAATATGTGATCTGACCTGTGACGCTCAGTGTTTTGCCATGAACATCCAGAGAAGTGTTCTAGGGATAGTATACTAGTGGTGGTCCAGCCGAGGTTAATATAGTGTGAAGGATAACATTGATGGAGTCAGGTTAATATTGTGTGAAGGATAACATTGATGGAGTCAGGTTAATATTGTGTGAAGGATAACATTGATGGAGTCAGGTTAATATTGTGTGAAGGATAACATTGATGGAGTCAGGTTAATATTGTGTGAAGGATAACATTGATGGAGTCAGGTTAATATTGTGTGAAGGATAACATTGATGGAGTCAGGTTAATATTGTGTGAAGGATAACATTGATGGAGTCAGGTTAATATTATGTGAAGAATAACATTGATGGAGTCAGGTTAATATTGTGTGAAGGATAACATTGATGGAGTCAGGTTAATATTGTGTGAAGGATAACATTGATGGAGTCAGGTTAATATAGTGTGAAGGATAACATTGATGGAGTCAGGTTAATATTGTGTGAAGGATAACATTGATGGAGTCAGGTTAATATTGTGTGAAGGATAACATTGATGGAGTCAGGTTAATATTGTGTGAAGGATAACATTGCAAAACACTGAGTCAGTTTCACTTGGGAGGTTTCATATGAGCATTGTAGATAACATGTGAGGGAAGATCCCCTTCCCCCTCCCTCACTGTCCTATGGCTTTTGTTAAAAAATACTGTTATTTTTATACGTTTTTATAGGGAAAGGAATCTACAATATAGTTTTCAGCTGTTTGAAAAAGTACTTATAGCTGACGTGTTCAACATGTGTGTTGAATTACGTCAGAAGTGGTGATGTAGGTGGTACTTGTTGTAGTGGTGATGATACTTGCTGCAGTGGTGATGTAGTTGATACTTGTTGTAGTGGTGATGTAGTTGGTACTTGTTGTAGTGGTGATGTTGATACTTGCTGCAGTGGTGTAGTTGATACTTGCTGCAGTGGTGATGTAGTTGATACTTGTTGTAGTGGTGATGTTGATACTTGCTGCAGTGATGTAGTTGATACTTGTGCAGTGGTGATGTAGTTGATACTTGTTGTAGTGGTGATGTTGATACTTGCTGCAGTGATGTAGTTGATACTTGTGCAGTGGTGATGTAGTTGATACTTGTTGTAGTGGTGATGTTGATACTTGCTGCAGTGATGTAGTTGATACTTGTGCAGTGGTGATGTAGTTGATACTTGTTGTAGTGGTGATGTTGATACTTGCTGCAGTGATGTAGTTGATACTTGTTGTAGTGGTGATGTTGATACTTGCTGCAGTGATGTAGTTGATACTTGTTGTAGTGGTGATGTTGATACTTGCTGCAGTGGTGTAGTTGATACTTGTTGTAGTGGTGATGTAGTTGGTACTTGTTGTAGTGGTGATGTTGATACTTGCTGCAGTGATGTAGTTGATACTTGCTGCAGTGGTGATGTAGTTGATACTTGTTGTAGTGATGATGTAGTTGGTACTTGTTGTAGTGGTGATGTTGATACTTGCTGCAGTGATGTAGTTGATACTTGCTGCAGTGGTGATGTAGTTGATACTTGCTGCAGTGATGTAGTTGATACTTGTTGTAGTGGTGATGTTGATACTTGCTGCAGTGATGTAGTTGATACTTGTTGTAGTGGTGATGTTGATACTTGCTGCAGTGGTGTAGTTGATACTTGTTGTAGTGGTGATGTAGTTGGTACTTGTTGTAGTGGTGATGTTGATACTTGCTGCAGTGATGTAGTTGATACTTGCTGCAGTGGTGATGTAGTTGATACTTGTTGTAGTGGTGATGTAGTTGGTACTTGTTGTAGTGGTGATGTTGATACTTGCTGCAGTGGTGATGTTGATACTTGTTGTAGTGGTGATGTTGATACTTGCTGCAGTGGTGATGTTGATACTTGCTGCAGTGGTGATGTTGATACTTGCTGCAGTGATGTAGTTGATACTTGTTGTAGTGGTGATGTTGATACTTGCTGCAGTGGTGATGTTGATACTTGCTGCAGTGATGTAGTTGATACTTGTTGTAGTGGTGATGTTGATACTTGCTGCAGTGGTGATGTTGATACTTGCTGCAGTGGTGATGTTGATACTTGTTGTAGTGATGTTGATACTTGCTGCAGTGGTGATGTTGATACTTGCTGCAGTGGTGATGTTGATACTTGCTGCAGTGATGTAGTTGATACTTGTTGTAGTGGTGATGTTGATACTTGCTGCAGTGATGTAGTTGATACTTGTTGTAGTGGTGATGTTGATACTTGCTGCAGTGGTGTAGTTGATACTTGCTGCAGTGATGTAGTTGATACTTGTTGTAGTGGTGATGTTGATACTTGCTGCAGTGATGTTGATACTTGCTGCAGTGGTGTAGTTGATACTTGCTGCAGTGATGTAGTTGATACTTGTTGTAGTGGTGATGTTGATACTTGCTGCAGTGGTGTAGTTGATACTTGTTGTAGTGGTGATGCTGATACTTGCTGCAGTGATGTTGATACTTGCTGCAGTGGTGATGTAGTTGATACTTGCTGCAGTGATGTAGTTGATACTTGCTGCAGTGGTGATGTAGTTGATACTTGCTGCAGGGGATGTAGTTGATACTTGCTGCAGTGATGTAGTTGATACTTGCTGCAGTGATGTAGTTGATACTTGCTGCAGTGATGTAGTTGATACTTGCTGCAGTGATGTAGTTGATACTTGCTGCAGTGATGTAGTTGATACTTGCTGCAGTGTTGATGTAGTTGATACTTGCTGCAGTGGTGATGTAGTTGATACTTGTTGCAGTGGTGATGTAGTTGATACTTGCTGCAGTGGTGATGTAGTTGATACTTGCTGCAGTGGTGATGTAGTTGATACTTGCTGCAGTGGTGATGTAGTTGATACTTGCTGCAGTGGTGATGTTGATATTTGCTGCAGTGGTGATGTAGATGATACTTGTTGTAGTGATATTGATACTTGCTGCAGTGATGTAGTTGATACTTGCTGCAGCGGTGATGTAGTTGATACTTGTTGTAGTGGTGATGTTGATACTTGCTGCAGTGATGTTGATACTTGCTGCAGTGGTGTAGTTGATACTTGCTGCAGTGATGTAGTTGATACTTGTTGTAGTGGTGATGTTGATACTTGCTGCAGTGGTGTAGTTGATACTTGTTGTAGTGGTGATGCTGATACTTGCTGCAGTGATGTTGATACTTGCTGCAGTGGTGATGTAGTTGATACTTGCTGCAGTGATGTAGTTGATACTTGCTGCAGTGGTGATGTAGTTGATACTTGCTGCAGTGATGTAGTTGATACTTGCTGCAGTGATGTAGTTGATACTTGCTGCAGTGATGTAGTTGATACTTGCTGCAGTGATGTAGTTGATACTTGCTGCAGTGATGTAGTTGATACTTGCTGCAGTGATGTAGTTGATACTTGCTGCAGTGTTGATGTAGTTGATACTTGCTGCAGTGGTGATGTAGTTGATACTTGTTGCAGTGGTGATGTAGTTGATACTTGCTGCAGTGGTGATGTAGTTGATACTTGCTGCAGTGGTGATGTAGTTGATACTTGCTGCAGTGGTGATGTTGATATTTGCTGCAGTGGTGATGTAGATGATACTTGTTGTAGTGATATTGATACTTGCTGCAGTGATGTAGTTGATACTTGCTGCAGCGGTGATGTAGTTGATACTTGTTGTAGTGGTGATGTTGATACTTGCTGCATTGGTGATGCTGATACTTGCTGCAGTGGTGATGTTGATACTTGCTGCAGTGGTGATGTTGATATTTGCTGCAGTGGTGATGTTGATACTTGCTGCAGTGGTGATGTTGATACTTGCTGCAGTGGTGATGTTGATACTTGATGTAGTAGTTATGTTGATACTTGCTGCAGTGGTGATGTTGATACTTGCTGTAGTGGTGATGTTGATACTTGCTGCAGTGGTGATGTTGATACTTGCTGCAGTGGTGATGTTGATACTTGCTGCAGTGATGTTGATACTTGCTGCAGTGGTGATGTTGATACTTGCTGTAGTGGTGATGTTGATACTTGCTGCAGTGGTGATGTAGTTGATACTTGCTGCAGTGGTGATGATACTTGCTGCAGTGGTGATACTTGCTGCAGTGGTGTTGATACTTGCTGCAGTGGTGATGTTGATACTTGCTGCAGTGGTGATGTTGATACTTGCTGTAGTCGTGGTGTTGATACTTCCTGCAGTGGTGATGTAATTGATACTTGCTGCAGTGGTGATGTAGTTGGTACTTGTTGTAGTGGTGATGTTGATACTTGCTGCAGTGATGTAGTTGATACTTGCTGCAGTGGTGATGTAGTTGATACTTGTTGTAGTGGTGATGTAGTTGACACTTGCTGCAGTGATGTAGTTGATACTTGCTGCAGTGGTGATGTAGTTGATACTTGCTGCAGTGGTGATGTAGTTGATACTTGCTGCAGTGGTGATGTGGTTGATACTTGCTGCAGTGGTGATGTGGTTGATACTTGCTGCAGTGGTGATGTTGATACTTGCTGCAGTGGTGATGTTGATACTTGCTGCAGTGGTGATGTGGTTGATACTTGCTGCAGTGGTGATGTTGATACTTGCTGCAGTGGTGATGTTGATACTTGCTGCAGTGGTGATGTTGATACTTGCTGCAGTGGTGATGTTGATACTTGATGTAGTGTTTATGTTGATACTTGCTGCAGTGATGTTGATACTTGCTGCAGTGGTGATGTTGATACTTGCTGTAGTCGTGATGTTGATACTTCCTGCAGTGGTGATGTAGTTGATACTTGCT